CGGTGTTACCCCTTGCTATATCAGGGGGGAAAAACGATTGGCTAACTTAACGGTAGAAAGTGAAAAGTCTGCTCCTGATTATTCAACGGATTCCACTTTGCGTTTGGGATTTCAATACCAGTATAGTGCAGCGTTTAATAAATGATTTAGGAAAAATATACCCTAGGTTCTAGATTCCGGTATTGCCAGCTCGATCTTGATTTCACATATAACCCATATCAAATAGGAGAAGCGACTCCATCACAAGGTATATATTTAACAAGCTAGCTTTTACGTTGCTCTGACACTCAGGGTAGAAAAATATGGTAACCTAAAATATCAGTCCTGTATACGCATACATGGAAGTACGAAGTATGTAATAATAAGGCTGCTATGAACTTTTAATTTTTACAATTTAAACAGCAATTGTTGCTTTTATTTGAATAAACAAACAAAAAATACGTTTCAAATCTAGTAGATTGTAGGTCCAGAAAATTCAATACTATTTTTTTTCTGTGCGTTTTAGATGGAATAGAAAACAACCCGTATAGTGCATTTATCTTCAGCAGTTACTGGGTGGACAACCAATGTAATGGCAGGGGCAGAAACTGACTAGAATGTATGGACATGTATAGTGTCTTAATATAAAAAATCAAAAGCATAAATTTGGAGTAATTTTAGTTGTAAAAATTTTACAGTCTACCCAAAAATATTACCCTGAATAATTCAAACTTCAGGCATTGCAAGAAAATTAAGATGGCGGTCATGCAGACACACACTTGTACTCCACAAAAGAATTGACAAATATCATCAAATTTTATTTGCATATATCACCAACAGAATAGTCTACAACTTCACCAGCCTTAAAAAAATAAATCAACCTTTATAAAGTACTTGACCTGAGTATATATATATATATATATATATCCAGATCCTCTAATTCTCTTTTCTTCAGTCTTTCAAGTAATTTACATATATACAAATAATAACTATGGCATCAAGTCCTGAAAACTGCAGTTAAAACAACAAAAATTGGAATGAGTATATAAAATAAACTGTCACTGTGTTATATAAAAAACTTACCTCATGACAAAATGTACAAGTATACACAGGTGAACATATATATCTGAGTTCTCACGGCAAAACTGTCAAACATAGATGTTTGTTTATGGCTTGAAAAATAAGCTGATACATGTACTTTATTAGCTATAATATGTTTTGTCTGTCAGCCATTACCCTCTACCAGGGCGACAGATTGATTTTTCACAGATAGGTCTCTAGATAAATAGACAGTCATTTTGGTCTGATTCAGCAAAAAAAAAAGTCCACAATAATAACTCAGACCCTGGTAGAGGGTAGTCAGCCATCATGAGAGAACGTTGCTGTAATGTTTCCGACATCTGCACATCATAGTGGCATTATAAGTCCTTCCCAAGGCGTTCTATTTCTACCACCACAAACTCCATATCTTCCTTGGTAACGTTAAGATTGCTGATAACCATACGTATAAAGTTGACGTAATCGCCCAAAGGCTGATATCCCACCATCATGGTCCCCTCCACCATCATCCTCTCCTTAATCTTGGGGGCAACCTAGGGGAAATATAAATTCAAGTAGTAAGAATGAAAATGCACTGATCATGCATAACATAAGGGGGACGTACCACAAAAGAGCTTGAGACAGAAATCAGTGAACTTGGAAACCAAAAGCTTAGTCTGTTTAGCTGCTGAAACATTTATACATATTACAAAAGCTTCAAATCCTCTAGTACTAGGTATCCAACTAGAGAGTACTCACAGTCCTATCCAATGAAGCCTCTATGATAAAAAAAAATATGCATTGATATGATTCCTCATGATTATTTTTGATACAATGTTCCAGCTACAGTGCACTGTAGATGCAGATGGATCCCCCTCCCCCATCTATCCCACTCCCTATTTCCAAAACAAAATTGGTATTTCAGCTCTATACTCTTACTAAATGGAATTCTCACTGCATACAGCAGAAACATGCTTTAGATATATACTCAGCTTTTAAAAATGCCCCTAGCTCACAGCATTATTGTTTTTTCATGAATTTCCTTCTGTTGGGATGCACAGTGGATAATAGAACCAAATACAAGCACAGACATACAAAGGCACACACATAAGCACACACACGCATACACAGACAAACAAATAAGCTACTCATCCTGGATTTGTCATTGTCCTATCAATAAGTAATGGGTATGCTTTCGTTACCTTGCCTAGCTTCTGCCACCATTCAGCAGTTCTCTTCAAAGACCTCAGGCTAGGAGGGATATACCAGAAACAGACATTGGTACACTGTGGCTCCCCTAACACTAACTCAAAACCTTCTCTGTCCTTTACCAGCTGGGTCAAATACCTGGTCATATGATATGATATGATATGTGTCAAGTGACAGGTCATAAAGTATATTTGTATAACAAAGCACAATGACATAGGTTTTTCACAGTCTTATGTGTAATGATGGTAAAAAAGTAAATAATTTCTAAAAAGACAAAACAGGGTTTTCTAATTAGCAAAATGCTATGTCTCAAAGGTTAAAATTGTTTCAGGTCTTTAGAAATGATTTAATTTTTTATCACAACAAAGCAATATATTGTAGAAAATTTGAAGGTAAGCTTTTCATAGAATATACCTTAAAAAGTTTGTTCAAGCCCATAGCCATGGTAATAAAGCTTTTTTTCCAAATTACCCAAGGTGCATTTTATTTCTGTGACAACCATCATAAATGTGAATTTTAAAAAATCAATAT